TTGGGAGGCCGAGGGGCGGATCACAAGGTCAGGAGTTCGAGACCATCCTGACCAACATGGTGAAACCTGGTCTCCACTAAAAATACAAAAATTAGCTGGGTGTGGTGGTGCGCGCCTATAGTCGCAGCTACACGGGAGGCTAAGGCAGGAGAATCGCTTGAACCCAGGAGGTGGAGGTTGCAGCGAGCTGAGGTTATGCCACTGTACTCCAGCCTGGCAACAGAGAGACTCCATCTCAAAAAAAAACAAAAAAGAAAAAAAATTAAAAAGAAAAAAGCAACATGCAGATTGATTTTTAAATAATATTCAAAGCTTAAATAAAGCCTTATGTACTTGTAGGAAGTGAAGGATAGTTAACGCTTAACTGCAAACTGACTACCTGGTGGTGGGAGATTTGAGAGGAAGAGTCACTGTGTTTCATTATTGATTTCAGCTAAATTACTAGTTTTTAAAAAGTAAACAGAAAATATTTGTATCTTATTACACACTATGTTCCACTGTTCTGACAAGTTTGCTTTTTTTTTTTCCCGGAGGTTAACATTGTAAACTCTTTGTGGGTAGTGACAGGTTAAGGGCAAATATTTTTTTGCTCCTGCAGCCAGTTCCTCTGTCCACACCCGAATCACGCACATTCACTAGGTGGGAAAGAGGACTGGAGAGTGAAGTAGACAGGAAACCTGGAGGTTCACTTGGGTCTGGACCTCCTTTCTTGTGAGTATCCCAGCAAAAGCCTTTCCATGCAGTCTTGATGCTTTCACCAGCCATGAGCAAACAAAATAATCATCTAAGGTTTATCTTCCCTCAAAACAGCAATTGTGTTTAAGTACCATTTGCTTCCCAAGGAAGATTGTTTGCATGTCCCACCCAAAGGAATCTTTATGTGGCCAATTCTGTTATGTGCATTATCAGTGGTATCATCCATGGATCTGTAATTCTTAAGTAAATGGAATGAAATGGTTTGTCAGGTCTTGACTTTGGAGTCAGACCATTCTACAGGCTCAGATGCCCCTCTTGCTCTGTCATCCAGATTGGGGTACAGTGGCATGATCCCATGGCTCACTGCAGCCTCAACCTCCTGGGCTCAAGGGATCCTCCCACCTCAGCCTCCCAAGTAGCTGGGACTACAGGTGCATGCTCAACTAATTTTTTGTAAAGACAGGGTCTCCCTATGTTGCCCAGGCTGGCCTTGAACTCCTGGCCTCAAGCAATTCTCCTTCCTTAGCCTCCCAAAGTGCTGGGATTACAGGTGTGAGCTACCGTGAGGTGGCTTACACCTGTAATCTCAGCACTCTGGGAGGCCAAAGCAGGCAGACCACTTGAGATCAGGCGTTTGAGACCAGCCTAGCCAACATGGTGACTAAAAATACAAAAATACAAAAATTAGCCAGGTGTGGTGGCGGGCACCTGTAATTCCAGATACTTGGTAGGCTGAGGCAAGAGAATTGCTTGAACCCGGGAGGCAGAGGTTGCAGTGAGCCGAGATCATGCCATTGTACTCCAGCCTGGGCCACAGAGCCAGACTCCATCTCAAAAAAAAAAAAGTTTTTATTTAAAAAATCTTGGCCAGGCACGGTGGCTCATGCCTGTAATCCCAGCATTTTGGGAGGCTGAGGTGGGCGGATTACGAGGTCAGGAGATCGAGACCATCCTGACTAACACAGTGAAACCTCGTCTCTACTGAAGAATACAAAATATTAGCCAGGTGTAGTGGCGAGTGCCTATAGTCCTAGCTACTCGGGAGGCTGAGGCAGGAGAATGGCGTGAACCCAGAAGGCGGAGGTTGCAGTAAGCCGAGATTGCACCACTGCACTCCAGCCTGGGCGACAGAGCGAGACTCCGTTTCAAAAAAAAAAAAAAATCTTTATATGAAAAAAAGAGAAAGAAAAAAGCATAACCGGGTGACTACAGTCAATAATAATTTAACCGTACTTTTGAGACAGGGTCACTCCTGTCACCCAAGCTGTAATGCAATGGTGCCATCTCAGCTCACTGCAAACTCCGCCTCCTGGGCTCAAGTCATTCATTCTCCTGCCTCATTTTCTGGAGCAGCTGACACCACAAGTGCACACCACCACCACACCCAGCTTTTTTTTTTTTTTTTTTTTTTTTTTTTTTTTTTTTTAGATAAAGACAGGGTTTCACCATGTTGCCAGGCTGATCTCGAACTCCTGAGTACAAGCGATCCTCCGCCTGCCTCACCCTCCCAAAGTGCTGGGGTTACAAGCGTGAACCACCCAGCCCCAACATTAACTGTACCTTTCAAAATAAGAGTGTAACTGGATTGTTTGCAACTCAATGGACAAATGCTTGAAGGAAATGGAGACCCCATTCTCCATGATGTGCTTATTTCACGTTGCATGCCTGCATCAAAACATCTCATGTACCCCATAAATATATACACCTCCTATATACTCACAAAAATTGAGAGAAAAACCACAGATATTTCCCATGTTTAAAGCTAATGAGCTTTAAACTGTAAAGCTTATAGAGGAAACATCACTTCTTTCCTACTTTGGTTGCCTAAGCAGCTTGCATTTCCATGCTCTGGGGCAGGAGAAGCAGAAAACTAAAATTATAATTAGTTACTATCTAATTTATTCATTCAAGAATGAGTGAAAACAAAGCAATTTTACACCTTCATATTAGATACAATCTTGGAAAACGGGTTTTAATATGGATATAGGAGGATGTTGCTAAGTGCCATCATCGAATATGAATACTAAAATAGGAATGTGAATATTAAAATAAGATGTTACTCTGTAATCCCAGTCCTTTGGGAGGCTGAGGAGATAAGATCGCTTCTGGCCAGTAGTCTAAGACCAGCCTGGGCAATATAGCAAAACCTTGTCTGCACAAAGAATGAAAAAACATTAGCTGGGCATGGTGGTACTTTCCTGTGGTCCAAGCTACTTTGGGAGGCTGAGGTGGGAGGATCCCTTGTGCCCAGGAGTTTGAGGTTACAGTGAGCTATGACCTTGCCACTGTATCCAGCTTCAGTGACTCAGTGGTACCTTGTCTGAAAACAGTAACAACAAAAAGGGCATGGGGTGTAGGGCGGGCCAGGTATGGTGGCTCACTCCTGTAATCCCAATACTTTGGGAGGCCGAGGCAGGTAGATCACCTGAGGTCAGGAGTTTGAGACCAGCCTGGCCAACATGGTAAAACCCCATCTCTACTAAAAGTACAAAATTAGCCAGGTGTGGTGGTGCACGCCTGTAGTCCCAGCTACCCAGGAGGCTAAGACAGGAGAATTGCTTGAAACCGGGAGGCAGAGGCTGCAGTGAGCTGAGATCGTGCCACTGCACTCCAGCCTGGGAGAGACGGAGCGAGACTCCATCTCAAAAACAAAACTTCTGGAATAGCATTCCTATCATGTATTGTAAAGTACAGAAGCTTCACTAAAGTCACTCATTTTGACTTCTATATAGTTGTTGGAGCAATTATACTAGAGAGTCAAGAATCCAGTTAACTTCCTTTATGACTATATAAAGGTGAATAAAAGTAAACTCGATTTAAATATAACTTGGAAATATCCTTCTCTTAACCCTAACAGAATGTCTGCAAGTAAACCTGAAACTACAGTGCATAGGTATTAGAAATGAGTATCTTTCTAGACGTTCGATTGAAAACCCACCTTCATGTACAATATACTGAAATTCCAGTGACAGCTAATGGGAAGACTACGGGCTTTACTTGCCTTCTTAGTATCATCTTTTTCTTCCCTCATTAAATTTGCTTTAAAACCAAGGGGGTAACACCCTTTTTTTTTTTTTTTGAGATGGAGTCTCACTCTATCATCCAGGCTGGAGTGCAGTGGCGTGATCTTGGCTCACTGCCAGCTCTGCCTCCCGGGTTCACGCCATTCTCCTGCCTCAGCCTCCCGAGCAGCTGGGACTACAGGCGCCCGCCACCACATCCGGCTAATTTTTTTGTATTTTTTTTTTAGTAGAGACGGGGTTTCACCGTGTTAGCCAGGCTGGTCTCGATCTCCTGACCTCCTGATCCGCCCGCCTCGGCCTCCCAAAGTGCTGGGGTTAAAATTTTTTTTTTTTTTTTAACATTGAACTAGGATAAATAATCCCAGTGCTTTCTATCGGAATAAAGGTGAGCTCTCTGACGGGTGAGCCATAGTCCTATGTTGTGCTCCTTTTCTGCAAAAGCAGAGGTCCAAGAATAGGGCTAAAGACCTCAGTGGGAATGACCGTTCTTCATCACATTCTGGATTCACAGCCAAACAGGTCAGCTGTGCTGTCACACACTTAACAAGGTAACTGGTCTTAACTTCCGAAACTATATCCAGGAGCCAGGCCACTGATAAACAGTTCTTTAAAAATTCTTGCCTTTGGTTCAAAGTAGGGAGAAGAGGATAACTTCAGGAAATTTTTTATAGCTTAAAATATTTAGTGTCAGAAAGTTATATATATTCATCTCAGTAGTCTGAAAGCTTAGATGATCAATCTGCATGTAATCAGAAATGTACGAAGGAGAAAAGTTGCTGGGAAGTTTGTCCTGGTCCACACACCACCATCAAAATGTGACGCTTTTTTTTCTTTTGAGATAGAGTCTCGCTCTGTCAACCACGCTGGAGTAAAGTAGCACGACCTTGGCTGGCTGCAACTTCCGCCCCCTGGGGGTTTCAAGTGATTCTCCTGCCTCAGCCTCCCAAGTAGCTGGGATTACAGGCGCACGCCTGGCTAATTTTTATATTTTTAGTAGAGACAGGGTTTCGCCATGTTGGCCAGGCTGGTCTGGAACTCCTGACTTCAGGTGATCCATCTGCCTCAGCCTCCCAAAGTGCTGGGATTACAGACGTGAGCCACTGCACCCAGCCAAAATGTGACATTTCTTCCTTATCTAGCAGTGCAAGATCTTAAAGTCAGATTACAAAACAAGTTGTATTCTGACTTTATCATTTTTCTATGCATTTCTAGGGCATGTTTATCTGAACTACTTAAGTCCTTCATAGTACAGTGAGCATAAAAGAGGACACAAGCCAAATGTATACTTAAATTAAATAGCATGATTTAATTTAGTTGGTGCTTAACCCTGAATCCTCTTAAGTTAAAAAAAATGTTATAATTAACTATTAACGTTAATGAATTTAAACCTTCCAGAAAGCATGAATCCAAAAGGAAATGTCCAACAGGTGATATTAGCCAGATATTTTATGGCCTTTCCTGTTTCAGTCTCAAACGTTCTAAACATCAATGGGGGAAAAATTCTCTAGAGTTTTTCAGTTTTATTCTTCTAGAGCACAATTTTCTGGCATGTTACTGAGTACGGTCTTCTAACAGGTACACAATTAACTCGTAAGTAGACAACACAATGGCAGTATTTGGGATCTGCCGGATAAGCTGGGCAAAGAGTCCTCTATAAAAGGCGAGATAGCCTTCTTCCCGGAATACCAGGCGCGCCGTCTGGACAAAAGACTTGTACTTGGTGCCCTCTTCCCGGAGCCTTGTCCTTATGACTTCTGCAGAGAGAGAAAGACCTACTTTACTCCACATATTAAATGGGGAAAGAATCCACAGCACGCAACTTTAAAACTGTCAAGTTAGGCCAGTTGCGGTGTCTCACACTGTAATCCCAGAACTTTGGGAGGCAGCGGTGGGCGGATCACTTGAGGCCAGGAGTTGGAGACCAGCCTGGCCAACATGGTGAAACTCCGTCTCTACTGAAAATACAAAAATTAGCCAGGCATGGTGGTGCACGCCTATTATTAGAGTGGCTGAGGAATAAAGATCGCTTGAACCCGGGAGGTGAAGGTTGCAGTCGGGATCGTGCCACTGCACTCCAGCCTGGGCCACAGAGCAAGCAAGACTCTGTCTCAAAAAAGAAATAAATAAAATAAAATTGTCAAGGTTACAACTATGTCTGTTTCCCACCTCAGCTGTATTTGGACAGGAAAGTCATATACCTAGAGAGATAATGAAAAATTAAGTTCTTTTTAGAACCATTTCCAACTCTAGGATTTGGTCAACTATTGACGCTTACATATACACAAAAGTACAAAATAACTTTTTTTTTTTTTGAGGCAGAATCTCACTCTGTCACTCAGGCTGGAGTGCAGTGGGTACGATCTTGGCTCACTGCAACCTCTGCCTCCCTGGTTCAAGTGATTCTCCTGCCTCAGCCTCCTGAGTAGCTGGGATTACAAGCACCCGCCACCATGCCTGGCTAATTTTTGTATTTTTAGTAGAGACGGGGTTTCGCCATGTTGGCCAGCCTGGTTTCGAACTCCTTTTCTCAGGTGATGTTCTCGTCTTGGCCTCCCAAAGTGCTGGGATTACAGCAAAATAACTTTTAAGGGGTTAAAAAGTCTGGGCGTGGTGGCTCAAGCCTGTAATCCCAGCACTTTGGGAGGCTGAGGCGGGCAGATCACGAGGTCAGGAGATCGAGACCATCCTGGCTAACGCTGTGAAACCCCGTCTCTACTAAAAAAATACAAAAAACTAGCCGGGCGTGGTGGTGGGCACCTGTAGTCCCAGCTACTCAGGAGGCTGAGGCAGGAGGATGGCGTGAACCGCGGAGCTTGCAGTGAGCCGAGATCGCGCCACTGCACTCCTGCCTGGGGCACAGAGCAAGACTCAGTCTCAAAAAACAAAAAAAGTGGGGGGAGGGTGTTAAAAGAAAAGCTTAGTTTGAATGGGACTTAATGTTAAAATAATTCACAGTTTTCTACTCCCAATTAAGCAAATGCTAATTTCACTGAAGGTGTAATTTGTATGAAGTATGGCAATATCTTCAACGAATTCTTTTCTTATACTTTTCAGTTTTCTTTTCCTCCTGGAAACATTTTCTACTCTGCCCGGCTCAAAAGCCACCCTCTCCTTTTGCTAGCTTTTGCCCACCTGGGCCTCCTTCCCAGACACCTACAGTTGGACATTCATCATTTCTGCCCTCACACAGACCTCAGACCCTGGGAGGCATCACTGACCTCTTTCCTCACATGTCCTTTGGGGTCAGCTTAGTGTCCCAGGACACAAGGGGGACTCAGCACCTGTTACTGAGTTGACTGTATTCATTTGTCATAGCTGACAGTAAGTAGGCTTATGAAAATAAACCCTGTTTTTCATGGCACAATAAACTAAGCATTTTTAAAAACAAGTAGGCCAGTAGGTCAACAAGTCCATAACTTAAAAAAATAAACTTACCCAAAGTAGCCTTACTTAAGGCTCCATTAGAAATGAAGGCTGATTTTTATTTTTATTTTTTTTTTTGAGACAGAGTCTTGCTCTGTCACCAGAGTGGAGTGCAGTGGCTTGATCTCGGCTCACGGCAACCTCCACCTCCCGGGTTCAAGCAATTCTCCTGCCTCAGCCTCCCAAGTAGCTGGGACTACAGGTGTGTGCTACCATGCCCAGCTAATTTTTTATTTTTCTTAAGGATGGAGCTTCACTGTGTTGGCCAGGCTGGTCTCAATCTCTTGACCTCATGATCCACCTGCCTCAGCCTCCCCAAAGTGCTGGGATTATAGGCATGAGCCACCATGCCCGGCCGAGGCTGAGTGATTTTTAAGTTTGGCTCCCATATTATTATTTTGATTCAAGGAATATTAAATACAATCCAGATTTTTAGCTTCCTTGAAAACAGCAGAAGTTTAGCAACCCAGGGCCTGCGTTTCTGCACAGCAAGTTTTGGCTATAATCAGCTGGAGCTGAGTAAGGTCGAGTTCCCACCCCTCACGTGACCTCCGTCCATGCGGTTAGAGCCGTTTCCCTCGTACTCACTGACCTTACCTGCAGGGATCCTGTGCCTCAGCATGTGCCACAGAAGTCTAGATATACCCACAAATGACAAACCTGACAGCTGTTTTACTGCTCTGGAAGAACAAAAGCAAAACATACCGTGTGGATAAGCAATGCAGGAGGCACAGCCCTTAGAAAGAGCAGCAGCTGCCATAAGTCCAAAAAAACTTGTGGGATTTTTCTCAGTCCCATTTGCAGAAGAGGCTAATGGAGCTTCTTTCAGATACTTCTTTAAACTTTCATAAATAGCAAAGCAGATTATAGTTTCGGAAATTCCAGCATAAGAGGCAGTTAATCCTCTATAGAAGCCACGAATGCCTTCAGTCTGGTAAACGTAACGAGCACACTGGAGTGTATTCATCTGCTTAGAGCCCCTCACTCTGCATAAAAGAGACCAGCACAGGCTGTTAAAGAGACACATCATGGTGGAACACAGAGCTATCACACAGTAGGAGAATGCGTCTTCCTTGTGGTGTTAGGATACCTGTTTTCATCCTCATTCCTGGCTCCTAACTCTCATAGCCCTTGTCTTTTGTTACAGTGTGGGGTATGTGAGGCCACAGGGGCAGCCTCTGATAGTCCCTCAATCTCCTTTCGCCTGCCCCAAGGCCATCCTCTAATGTCCCTACCCTGTTGATCTTACTCCATGAGAGTCCCCTTCTATCCCTTGGGGGAAGGAATGCTGCTGGCATGAAGCTTCCAGAAAAACCCAAGAGGACAGGGTTCAGGGAGCTTTCAGAGCTGATCGCATGCAGGCTCCTGGAGGGTGGCCCCTGGGGAGGGTATGAAAGCTCCGCGTCCCTTACTCTGTACCTGGCCCTACCTATTTCTTCTTCTGTATCCTTGCGATGTCCTTTATAACAAACCAGTAAATATTAAGTGTTTCCCTGAGTTCTGTGAGCCACTCCAGCAAATTAATAGAATCCAAAGAGAGGGGCATGGGAACCCCAACTTGAAGCTGGTCGTTCAGAAGCTCTGGAGGCCCAGACATGCAACTGGTGTGTGGGTGGGTGGGGGGTGGGCAGTCCTGGGGGCTAAGCCCCCAATCTATGGGGCTGTCTCCTGGTAGACAGTGTCGGAACTGAACGAGAGGACACCCAGCTGGTGTCCACTGCTCAGTGTGTGGGAAAACCCCCTGCACATTTGGTCACAGAAGTCATCTTCTGTGTCAATGACTGTTGTGATGTGACAGTGGAGGAAAAACATGGTTTGAGGAAGAGTTTTTCCCACATATCTTTGTACTGTTGTCAGCTGACCCCCAGCCCACTGAGGCCAGACCAATTAGCTGGCACATCTGACAGGCCCACAGAATACTCGCTACATCTGTATCAAGAGTCATAGAAACATGTTCATAAAAACATTAACATTTGACCTAATTTTAGAAAGAGCTGCAGGCAGCAGTAAGGCTCATCACAGAGGAACTACAACTGCAAAACAATCAGAACAATCCAGATAGCTGACCATGGTACACCTGCTAGATTAAGTCACAAGGCCGTGAGACACAGGGAATGCTTTCAGTGGAAAACAGGACTAAGTTAAAGGTAAAGGACGATCACAAGGGCTAGGCGCAGTGGCTCACACCTGTAATCCCAGCACTTCGGGAGGCTGAGGCGGAAGGACTGCTTGAGGCCAGGAGTTCAAGACCAGCCTGGCCAATGTAGTGAGGCCCCATCTCTACAAAAAAATAAATAATAAGAAAGAAAAACAGGAACAGGGTGCGGTGGCTCAAGCCTGTAATCCCAGCACTTTGGGAGGCCGAGACAGGCGGATCACGAGGTCAGGAGTTCGAGACCATCCTGGCTAACACGGTGAAACCCCGTCTCTACTAAAAAATACAAAAAACTAGCCGGGCGAGGTGGCGGGCGCCTGTAGTCCCGGCTACTCGGGAGGCTGAGGCAGGAGAATGGCGTAAAAACCCGGGAGGCAGAGCTTGCAGTGAGCTGAGATCCGGCCACTGCACTCCAGCCTGGGCAACACAGCGAGACTCCGTCTCAAAAAAAAAAAAAAAGAAAAAAGAAAAAAGAAAAACAGGAACATTCCAACCTGTTGGTGAGGCTACTTATTAGATTTCTGATTGCACTCATCTCCAAATAGATTCTAATTATTGCTAAATTTATAAAATCATAAAACATCAAAATAAAACAGCAAATGAAAAGCCTCAGGTTTAGAGGCTCCTACCCCAGGACGTAAAGCATTTATGAACTGCCTGGCTGCAAGGCAGGAGTGAGCCACTGGATGAGCGTAGTCAGCTGTGCACCGGTCACACGTCACAGACCCCTCCAAGCAGGCGCAGACCTGGGGCCCTTGGGCTTCACTCAGTCTCAACTGGCCTCTCTCCCTTTATTATCTCCGCATAGACTGTTCCCGCTCCTTAGTCGCAGTGACCTTTCTAACACAAATCCAACCACGCAACTCCCATCCAGAGGCTGGGTGCCTGTAATCCCAGCACTTTGGGAGGCCGAGGCGGGCAGATCACAGGGTCAGGAGATCGAGACCAACCTGGCTAACATGGTGAAACCCTGTCTCTACTAAAAAATACAAAAAATTAGCTGGGCATGGTGGCGGGCACCTGTATTCCCAGCTGTTCGGGAGGCTGAGGCAGGAGAATGGCATGAACCTGGGAGGCGGAGCTTGCAGTGAGCTGAGATGCGCCTCTGCACTCCAGCCTGGGCTACAGGGCAAGACTCCATCTCAAAACAAAACATCCAGAGTTTCTCACCCTTGGCACTATTCACATTTGGGGCTAGATCATTCAGTTTGGGGAGAAGCAGGCTGTCATGTGCCTTGTAGGATGTTTAGCAGCATTGCAGCCTCTATTCACACTAGACACCAAAAACACCCACCTAAGTTGTGGCAACTTCAAATGTCTCCAAACTTAGCTGCTGAATGTCCCCTGGAAAACCCCCTACTTCCATCCTCCATTTCCCAAGACTGCTCTCAAAGTCCAACTCCAAATTCCCTTTCAGGCCTGGGAAGGATTGGGTTCCCCTGCTCTTCCAGCCTTATTCTTCCATAACTCCCTTCTCCTCGGAGCAGATGCACATACTACACGCCAACCACACTTTCTGTCTTACAGCTCCCTAGAACTAACCATGTTTTTTTTTTTTTTTGAGACAGAGTCTTACTCACTCTATCCCCCAGGCTGGAGTGCAGTGGTGCGATCTCAGCTACAACCTCCAACTTCTGGGTTCAAGCGATCTCCTGCTTCAGCCTCCCTGGGATTACAGGTGCATGCCACCACGCCCGGCTAATTTTTGTGTTTTTTGTAGAGACGTGGTTTCACCATGTTGGCCAGGCTGGTCTCGAACTCCTGACTTTGTGATCTGCCCTCCTCGGCCTCCCAAAGTGCTGGGATTACAGGCATGAGCCACCACGTCCAGCCTGCCTCCTTTCTTTAGAGGCAGCTGAAAATCAGAGTGGACTGGCTAGAAGTTTCCAGTGTACACATTTCCAGGCAACACAGTAATACAGGGGTTCTTAATAGAATGCTGGTAGTTCGTTCACTTGGACTGGGGAGAAAATGGCATCTTTAACCCTAATCCCTAACCGAAATCCAAAAGTTAAATTGTTAACTATTGGAGTTTAGGGCTAAGCATAGTGGGGTATCTAATCCCAGTTTGGGTCTTAGCTATTGTGTCTTCAGAAGTATTAAAGCCACCTTCGTACTTTATTTCATTTCAGCTAGGGTTTTTTACAACTTAGATGAAACTTAGCTTTATTGATTATAAGTTTAAAACACTCTTTACACCGGGTTCCATTAGCTTGGATTAATCGTATTTATTACAAATGTAAATAAACAGGCCACAGTAGTACTAGTAGTAGTACCTGTGATTTGACACACATAGAAATATTTTCATGTCACATTATATTTGTTGAAAACATCACAGGACACGGTTTATCATTTCTTAGAAATTATGGCAGTTACTGGACTACTATCTTGTTAATTTAATGTGTTAAAGAGGCATACTACTATATCACTGATAAGTATATTTTTAAAAACCTTATTGTAAGGCCTGGTGTGGTGGTTCACGCCTGTAATCCCAGCACTTTGGGAAGCTGAAACAGGAGGATTGCTTGAGCCCAGGAGTTGAGACCAGCCTGGGCAACATGGCAAGATCCATCTCTATAAGAAAAACAAAATTAGCTGGGTGTGGTGGCATGCACTTGTGATCTCAAACTAGTGAGGAGGTGAGGCTGAGGCAGGAGGATTGCTTGAGCCTGGGAGGTTGAGGCTGGGTGATAGATGAGACCCTGTCTCAAAAAAAAAAAAAAAGAAAAGAAAAGGGAAAAAAAATACATTATTCTACCTGGGAGGCATAGATTGCAGTGGGCTGAGATTGCACTGCACTTCAGCCTGGGCAGCAAGTGAGACCCTATCTCAAAAACAAAACAAAACAAAACAAACCAAAAAAAACCACCCAAAAAACAACATTATTCTAAAAAGGGACTGCAGGTGTCACCAGACTACCAAAGGAATCCACAGCCCTACAAAATGTTACAAACCCCTGGCTGGAGTTCGAGGGCAGAAGCCTATTACAGTTTAGGGCCTTTGGAGACTAAAATTAGCCCTTTGAGGTCCGAGGACACTCAGAGTTCTGCCTTTACTGTCTTCCCTTTTGAGAGGGAGACCATCTGGAGGAGAACCCACAGCACTTCAACTGGGATGGGGTCTGCAAAGGAGAGACAGTCACTGACTCTCTGAGACAACAGGCGGGACTGCGGATCAGGGAACGCAACCAGAGAAATCCCCTCCTTCCCGTTTGTCATCTCTGTCGCCCTCATCTTCCAATGATGCTCACAACACAAACCTCAATGCAAAAGAAATCCTGCATGCACTTAAATTAAGAAAACGAGGAGGGGGATAGCTAAGGAATCTGTATATCTCATTCCTTAGAGATGTGGGGGAATTCGGGCAAGAAAAAAAAAATCCCAAAAATCCTTTCATTAAGGAAGGAACAAATAATAACTTACTTCTGTTCTAGCTGCATTCGGGTTTTAACCATCCATATAGGATTCATTAAGGAATTTGTGATAAAAGCTGGAAAAAAAAAACAGTAAAGGTCAACACTGTACATAGTCAATACTTATTAAAGATGTCTATTATCATATAATAAACTTTGAAATCAGGATTTCAATGGCCTAATAAAAAGACAGTAGGAAGCAGTTATATTTCTTTTTCTTTTTTTTGGAGACAGATTCTTGTTCTGTTGCCCAGGCTGGAGTGCAATGGGCACTCCAGTGATCACTCCAGCGATCTCAGCTCACTGCAAGCTCTGCCTCCCAGGTTCACGCCATTCTCCTGCCTCAGCCTCCCGAGTAGCTGGGACCACAGGCGCCTGCCACCACACCCAGCTAATTTTTTGTATTTTTAGTAGAGATGGAGTTTCACCCTGTTAGCCAGGATGGTCTCAATCTCCTGACCTCGTGATCCACCCGCCTTGGCCTCCCAAAATTCTGGGATTACAGGCGTGAGCCACTGCGCCCAGCTGGAAGCAGTTACATTTCTATCCTGCAGATAGAAGCTTCAGTTTCCCCGTCAATTGTAACATCTATTGGTATTGCTAGATCTAAAATAAATTTCTCTTGATTTTCTGGAATCCCTTCTAGTCTTTTCAACCTCTAGATGGTACTGTTGATATCTGTGTTAATGTGATTCCTACCAAAAATTATAACTGTCCTAAAACTCAATTTATAAGCCTCAGATCCAGAAATAATTTAACTGGCCTCCCAAAGAGCTGGGATTACAGGCGTGAGCCACCGCGCCCGGCCGACACTGTTTTTAAGAACTTCCTTCAGGTCTGCTTTATTTATCAAGGGTTCTAAGTTAACTTTGCAAAAGTTACAAAACGGATTAATAGTTGTTAGCTTATGGTAACTCACTACTGGCCTATCTTTAAGCAAAGAGCAACCTGTTTTGGAACTCTGCCTTTCCTCCTCAGAGCTCTGTATTACATAGAAACGGCTTCCTTGTATAAAGCAACTTTTAACATTTTCTATTCGGGGTCTAGAAATAATTAGCTATAAATATTCAGACAGGTTGGTCACACTTGTATCTGGAGTAACAAATGGCAAACAAAAATGGTGTGTACATCTTACAGACTAGTAGGAGATGCAAATTTTTTGTAAAATGCCAATTTAAGTTCTCTAAAATATCTTTCTAGGCCTGGCGTGGTGGCTCATGCCTGCAATTCCAGCACTCTAGGAGGCTGAGGTAGGTGGGTCACTTGAGCTCAGGAATTCGAGGCCAGCTTGGGCAACATGGTTAAACCCCATTTCTACAAAAAATACAAAAACATTAGCTGGGCATGCTGGTGTGCGGCTGTACTTTCAGCTACTCAGAAGGCTAGAGGCAGGAGGATGGCTTGAGCCCAGGAGGTGGGGATTGCAGGGAGCTGAGATCATGCCACTGCACTCCAGCCTAGGCGACAGAACCAGACCCTGTATCAAAACAAAACAAAACAAAAAACAAAACAAAACCAATTAAAAAAAAAAAAAAAAAAACCCCTTCTGTTTAAATGGACATAGAACTCTATACAGCCTTCTAGACATAGCCTTCTCGGCCAGGCGCGGTGGCTCACGCCTGTAATCCCAACACTTTGGGAGGCCGAGGCAGGCGGATCGAGACCATCTTGGCTAACACGGTGAAACCTCGCCTCTACTAAAAATACAAAAAATTAGCTGGGTGTGGTGGCCCGTGCCTGTAGTCCCAGCTACTTGGGAGGCTGAGACAGGAGAATCCCTTGAGCCCGGGAGGAGGAGGTTGCAGTGAGCCGAGATCTTGCTGTTGCACTCCAGCCTGGGCGACAGAGTGAGACTCTGTCTCAAAAAAAAAAAAAAAAAAAAAAAAAAAAAAAGAGCCTTCCCTTCTCTCAGATAGCTACGCGTTCATGTTTTACAAGTACATCCTGGGGAAGAAGTCCTGCTATGGCTTTTCATTAGGAAGTGGAATGGTTCCCTCAAAAGAGAACAGATGCCCTGTGAGCTGTGACCCTCCTGAAAAACTCCACTGACCCTCCTGAAAAACTCCACTGCAAGCCCGACACCCTCACTGCATAACCCATAGTTGGGGACAGGAGTGCCAATTGTACACAGGGTGTGTGGGACCCCGTGGGGAATCTGAAGAAAGAAACTCTAATTTTAGAAAATCATCTGATGGGGCGGGGCCAGGCACAGTGGCTCATGCCTATAATCCCAGCACTCTGGGAGGCCAAGGAGGTGGATCACTTGAGGTCAGGAGTTTGAGATCAGCCTGGGCAACATGGTGAAACCCCGTCTCTACTAAAAATGCAAAAATTAGCCAGGCGTGGTGGCAAATACTTGTAATCTCAGCTACTCAGGAGGCTAAGGCACAAGAATCACTTTAACTTGGGAGAAGGAGGGTGCAGTGAGCCGAGATTGCACCACTGCCCTCCAGTCCAGCCTGGGTGACAAAGTGAGACTGTCTCAAAAAAAAAATTAAAATAAATAAATCTATATACATATATAATTTGATGGGCAAACAGGAAGACATGAAAAACCTATGAATATTCCTTTAGAAGAACAAAATACCAATAGCATGCATAGAACATGTAAATTTTGAGGGCAAATAAAGAGCTTTAGTGGGCAAGGAAAATAAAATCAAGCTACAAACCGCTGTCACTCTCCTATCAGTTGTAATATAAAGCTTTAGAAAAACAATTTTAGGTGCAAAGGAAGAAAGGAGCTAATTTCTAATTCCTGGAAAAACTGTTTGGCAGAATGCATGCTTTAGAAAAGCGAGAGAAACCCTCTCTTCGCTCACTAGGGTGACATACCTGCAGAGCCAGCTGAGAAAATATGCACAATATTGCTGTTAGGCACGAAAATGCCATTAAATTGCTCTTTGGCTTTGGAGTAACATGCAAAGTATACAGCCCTGTTAGAACAAAGAGAACATTATAAAGAAATCATCATAGTGCAACTTTATATGTCCCTCCAGAATACCTGAAAAATTTTCAGAAAATAAAATGGGAAAGACACTGCCACGCACCCAAAAATCTTGTCCTCGCCTGTGCTAAAACCAAAACCTGCCACAGGCACGTTCAGGAAGCTCTTGTGTGTCCCTCCAGAAATGATTTAGTGATGACAGAGGTGTTCAAAAATAATTGAGGAAAGTGAGATTTGGGGAAGACATCTATAAAGTCCTTTTACATTCTTCGTTCTGGATAAATGCTAATCCTTTAAGCATCAACACATTGGAAGTTTTAAATTTTTGTTTATGTTTCTAGAGTAGACCACACTTTTTCACCTTGTGCCAAAATGAGAATGTCGAACATAATTTGAACTGTTTTTGCATGACTCAGGATCACACAGGAACAGCCATCATATCATACCTGTGTTTTCATAGAGTCCTTCCACCACCCCCTGCCTTGACTACCACAGAGTGGTCCCATCACCTTTGTTTTCTCTTCACTTTTCCCCCTGCTATCTTCCCGCTTTTGGGGCTGGGAAATAGGAGCTACTTGGCACTTTTCCTGCTCTTTCACCAGCAATGCAGGGAAAATGTTTCCGTCTTCTGCTGGCCAATGAATCTTAATCATAGAATATATTTTTCAGTTCAGGATCTTAACTACTTATCATTATTGTGTTATAAAAGTCTTCCTTTTCCCCTAAACCCCAATTGTTCTAAATGGGTGAGGCAGCCAGGAATCTGCATCAGGTTACCAGGGTTACACTGTAGGAGCACTGCCTGTGAGCAGCAAGGGCTCTTCTCACTTTGTTTACTACAGATGGGCAGTAGTTTCCCATCTATGAATAATGCACACCCCAGATCATCTCACAGACTAGTACTTTCTGTTTTTAAATACATCATACATACTTGCTACAAAATTCTAAAGGAACAAAAGCAGTAAAAAAGTCTGCCTTTTTACAACATCCCCAGGTGATGTTTTTGGTTTGTTTGTTTTGAGATGGCGTTCTTGCTCTGTCACCCAGGCTGGAGTGCAGTGGCGTGACCTGACCTCACTGCAACCTCCATCTCCTGGGTTCAAGCCATTCTCCTGCCTCAACTTCCCAAGCAGCTGGGATTACAGGCACATGCCACCACGCTCAGCTAATTTTTGTATTTTTGTAGAGATGTGGTTTCACCACGTTGGCCAGGCTGGTCTCAAACTCCTGACTTCAAGTAATCCGCCTGCCTCGGCCTCCCAAAGTGCAGAGATTACAGGTGTGAGCTACTGCACCCAGCCAATTTATGTTTAAATTGGAGCACTGATCTGGAGGAATCCTATAAGCTTTTGGTCTTCACCCTATATAAGACAACATTCTCATTTTTGTTGAAAGACTTCATTTTCTTTCAAGTCTCTTGGAGTATGACAAGTTAAGTGTCCTGCCCCTGCCACCCAGTTCCCTTCTCAGGAGGTCCTTTCTGGAAGAAGTTTTTTTGTTTTGTTTTTTCTTTTTGAGATGAGTTTTGCTCTTTCACCCAGGCTGGAGTGAAGTGGCATGATCTTGGCTCACTGCAACCTCTGCCCCCAGAGTAGCTGGGATTATGGGTGCCCGCCACCATGCCTGGCTAATTTTTGTATTTTTAATAGAGACAGGGTTTTGCCAAGTTGGCCAGGCTGGTCTCCAACTCTTGACCTCTGGTGATCCACCTGCCTCGGCCTCCCAAAGTGCAGGGATTACATGGGTGAGCCACCATGCCCAGCCTGGAGGCAGTTTTTAATCTGCTTTCCAGATATGCTATTCTCTCTCTGTCTCTGTTACTTTCACAATCAATCATACATTGTTATCCTCTCTATCCCATCTATCCAAGAGAACTTTCTGCCAAGATGGGATGCCGTGTATCTCTGCTCTTCAATACAGTAGCCATGAGCTGCATGTGGAGATTGAATGCTTGAAATATGGCCAGGGAGCTGAGCAACTGAACCTTTAATTCTGATTAATTTACATTTAAACAGCTCCTTGTGGCCAGTAACTATCGTTATATACTGTGACAGTACAGTTCTGTATATTTCAAACAGGCTTTCAGGAGAAGCCCTGCAAAAATACGAGGATGTCATTTGATAGAAAGTGAAGTTAAAAGCCTTTACAGTTCCTCTGGATCAGTGTTTCTAAGTGCGTTGGAGTCACCCGGGGGTTCTGTTAAAATGCAGATTCTGATGTAGGTCTGGGATGTGCCCTGGGATTGTGTATTTATAACAAGCTCTCAGACAGTACTAATGCTGCTGGCCGCATGCCATACTTAGAGGAGCAAACACTTAGAGTACATTACAGTAATGATAGCAGATTAATTTTCACACTTAAGAATATGAAGAATACGGTAAGTAGAATCTCTTTCACACACTGAAGACACACCTACAATTCTCAATAACTATTTGCTATGTCTGCTACATTTAGGCAAATCCAACACAGAAAAAAGACACTGGTCATTCAGCAGCATCACCCTTTGGTAAGAAAGGACCCAGAATTCCACACTGCTTAGCACGGGCTAGCTGGAAAGTTTAATGCTTACCTTGATGGTGCAACTCCAACCAAATTTGGACCCAAGCCTCTAAAAAGTGACTTTGGTCCCTCTTTCTCCAAGATCGACCTGAATAAGAAAAGACAAACCTTTAAAACCCCTCAGGCAAGGTCTATTAAAAATGATAAGGAGTCAACCTTCTCATTAGTTCCTTGAGACAATAAAATGTTTGAGAGATCTCAAGCTCGACTCTCATCTGATTTGGTTACAATACAGAATGTATTGTAATGTCTGTAGAATACTGCTATCATTAACACAGTGAAAAAAACATGCTTCAAAAAGCATCAGTTAGACATATTTTATTTTTCTGCCTTTCTTTTTTTTTTTGGAAACAGAATCTTCCTCTGTTGCACAGGCTGGAGTGCAGTGGTATGATCTCAGCTCACTGGAACCTCTGCCTCCCGGGTTCAAGCAATTCTCCTGCCTCAGCCTCCCAAGTAGCTGGGATTACAGGCGCTCACCACCACACCCAGTTTTGTATTTTTATTTATTTATTTATTTATTAATTATTTAGACTGAGTTTCACTCTTGTTGCCCAGGCTGGAGTGCAATGGCTTGATCTCGGCTCACTGCAACCTCCGCTCCCCAGGCTGAAGCGATTCTCCCGCCTCAGCCTCCCGAGTAACTGGGATTAAAGGCATGCGCCACCAGGCCCAGGTAACTTTGTATTTTTAGTAGAGATGGGGTTTCTCCAAGCTGGTCAGGCTGGTCTTGAACTCCTCACCTCAGGCGATCTGCCCGCCTCGGCCTCACAAAGTGCTGGGATTACAGGCATGAGCCACCACGACCGGCCTAACACAGGAGGAAGCTGTGCAGAGTCTGTACTAGACAATGAAATCCTGTGAAAGTAGGATGAATATCTGGCAGAGGGTTCCACACAGGGAACAATTTCCTCATCATAATAAGATTAACTGAGAAATAGGTTCAAAGATTTCTTTTGGATTTACTGCTTCTAACAATCCTATCTTCTAGATCTTTACCTAATATAGTAGAAACTTACACAGGGATATAAGGAATAGGGCCAGCTCAGTGCTTATACCTGTAATCCCAGGACTTTGGGAGGTCCAGGCACTTGAACAGGAGTTCCCAATCAGCCTGAGCAACACAGTATAAACCCCATCTCTACAAAAAATGAAAAAAAATAGCCAGATGTGGTGGTGTGTGCCTGTGCTCCCAGCTACTCAGGAGGCTGAGGTGAGAAGATAGCTTAGCCTGGGAGGTCAAGGCTGCAGTGAGCCATCATCACGCCACTGCACTCCAGCTTTAGCGACAGAGAGACACCTTGTCTCAAAAATTACAAACGAAAAAAAAATGTTGGTGGGAGGGGGGAAGGTGGAATTTAAGGAATAGAAAACTCTAATAATTTTCATGGACAGGATGATGGTTATTTAAAACCAAAGTCTAGTAAGTATCTCAAGTCCAAAGATTATACCATGATGGCTTTTTTTTTTTTTTGAGATGGAGTCTCACTCTGTCACCCAGGCTGGAATGCAGTGGCACAATCTCGGCTCACTGCAAGCTCCGCCTCCCAGGTTCATGCCATTCTCCTGCCTCAGCCTCCTGAGCAGTTGGGACTACAGGCGCCCGCTACCACGGCCGGCTAATTTTTTGTATTTTTAGTAAAGATGGGGTTTCACAGCGTTAGCCAGGATGGTCTCAATCTCCTGACCTGGTGATACACCAGCCTTGGCCTCCCAAAGTGCTGGGATTACAGGCGTGAGCCACTGGGCCCAGCCAATTGCTTTTTCTTTTAAACTTTTTTTTTTTTGTGGTGACATACACATAATAGAAAAATCTATCATTGTAACTTTTTTTTTTTTGAGACAGAGTCTCGCTCTGTTGCCCAGGCTGCAGTGCAGTGGCGCAATCTTGGCTCACTGCCAGCTCCGCCTCGCGGGTTCATGCCATTCTCCTGCCTCAGCTTCCCAAGTAGCTAGGACTACAGGCATCTACCACCATGCACAGCTAATTTTTTGTATTTTCAGTAGAGACAGGGTTTCACTGTGTTATAGCCAGGATGGTCTCCATCTCCTGACCTCGTGATCCACCCGCCTTGGCCTCCCAAAGTGCTGGGATTACAGGCGTGAGCCACATTGTAACCATTTTTAAGTGTACAGTTGAGTGGCATTAAGTACGTCCACACTGTTGTGCAACCATCACCATACCACCATCTACCTCCAGAACCTTTTCATCTTTTCAGACAGAACCTCTGCACTCATTAAGCACCAGCTCCCTAGCCCTCCCTCCTGTCAGGCCCTGGCAGCCACCATTCTACTGTCTCTATAAATCTGACAACTCTAGGTATCTCTTATCAGTGGCATCACATCTTTTTTTGTGACTGGTTTATTTCACCTGGTCTTTGAGGTTCATCCATGTTGTAGCATGTGTCACAATTTCCTTCTTTTTATTTTATTACTTATTTGAGATAGGGTCTCATTCCATCATCCAGGCTGGAGTGCAATGGGGTGATCTCGGCTCACTGCAACCTCCACCTCTTAAGTTCAAGCAATTTTTGTGCCTCAGCCTCCCCAGTAGCTGGGATTACAGGTGAGTGCCACCACGCCCAGCTAATTTGTGTGTGTGTGTGTATATGTATATACATATATATACACATATATATACATATATATATATATTTTTTTAAATAGAGACAGGGTGTCACCACGTTGGCCAGGCTGGTCTTGAACTTCTGGCCTCAAGTGATCCACCCACCTTGGCCTTACTAAATGCTGGGATTACAACTACTGTGCCCACCCAGAATTTCCCTTTATTTAAAAGCTGAATATGATTCCACTGCTGTATACACCACATTTTATTATCCATTCATCCATCGATGGACACTTGGGGTTGCTTCCATGTTTGGCTGTTATAAATAGTGCTGCTATAAACATGGGTGTACAAATATCTGTTTGAGTCCTTGCTTTGGATTCTTTTGTGGAATCCAAGTGGAATTGCTGGATCACATGGTAATTCTATGCCTAATTTTTTGAGAAACCGCTAGGCTGTCTTCTATAGTGGTTATACCACCTTACATTCCCGCCTGCAACGTAAAAGGAGTTCCGATTTCTCTATAACTTCGCCAATGTGCTTTTCACAAAAAAAAAGTTAAATATTGTTTCCGATTAAAAGCGACTCAGAAAATCCTAAAAGGATTGTATGGAACACTCTTAGAGGCATTTTTCTGCTGCAGCACAGGTATTCAAGTTGGTTAAATTTACTCTTTTCAATGGTTCAATTTCCATGGTATCCGATAGAATTTACATTGTTATATTAGGGTCTTCTCTAATTTAATCTCCTTTTCTTACTGAGGATTTTTCTTTACTACTAGTACCGTCCATTTGATAGCACTCAAGGTTGATATAGCTCACAAATAATCATATGCTAGTCAAAAGTTAATAGAATGGCTGGGAGCAGTGGCTCACATCTGTAATCCCAGCACATTGGGAGGCTGAAGCGGGTGGATCGCTTGAGATCAGGAGTTCGAGACCAGCCTGGCCAACAAGGTGAAACCCCGTCTCTACAATACAAAAACTAGCCAGAAATCACTTGATCACGGCAGGCAAGGCTGCAGTGAGCCGAGATCATGCCACCGTACTCCAGCCTGGGCAACAGAGCAGGACTCTGTCTCAGAAAGGAAAAAAAAAGTTCATAGAATGTTTTACCTTCATTATAACACACAGAAAGTATGATGAAAAGATCTTTCACTTTACGGAAAAGATGTTCCTGTAAAGCTAATAGTAAAGTAAATCCTGTCAGTTCTACTTCTACGACTTCCACTTTCTCCACAGGGAAAGTTTCCCAAATTAAGCTGGTTTTTGGTGCAAAAGAGGTACAGCTGACATTCTGGTCCATGGCATACTGGATAATGTTAAGGTTTCATCTATTTCCAGCTCTCCTTCCTCAGATTACTATGCAACTTTTCATGTTCTAGATTCTCTGAATGTATAAATAAAATTTTGAATCTTAGCTTTTCTTCTCCTAATTTTTGGATGTTTAAAATAAAGAATATCTGTACCTTCAAAAAGAGCTTTCCTAAAAAGTAGGCTAGCAATTAGACGAAAAAGAGTGGAAAGAAAAAAGTAAAACTATGTCTATTCACAGACAACATGACCTTTTGTTGAAATACTAAAGAATTGGCAGGGCGTGGTGGCTCACACCTGTAATCCCAGCACTCTGGGAGGCCGAGGTGGGCGGATCACGAGGTCAGGAGATCGAGACCATCCTGGCTAACACGGTGAAACCCTGTCTCTACTAAAAATACAAAAAAAAAAAAAAAAAAAAAAAAAAATTAGCCAGGTGTGGTGCGGGTGCCTGTAGTCCCAGCTACACGGGAGGCTGAGGCAGGAGAATGATGTGAACCCGGGAGGTGGACCTTGCAGTGAGCTGAGATTGTGCCACTGCACTCCAGCCTGGGTGACAGAGCGAGACTCTGTCTCAAAACAAACAAACAAACAAACAACAACAAAAAAAACTAAAGAATCTACTAAAACAATTATCTCTATGAAGCTATTATTGGCTGGGCGTGGTAGCTCACACCTGTAATCCCAGCACTTTGGGAGGCCAAGGTGGGCAGATCACTTAAGGTCAGGGGTTTGAGACCTGTCTGGCTAACATGGCGAAACCCTGTCTCTACTAAAAATATAAAAATCAGTCAGGCGTGGTGGCATGCACCTGTAGTCCCAGCTACTCAGGAGGCTGAGACAGGAGAATTGCTTGAACCTGGGAGGCAGAAGCTGGAGTGAGCCGAGATCATGTCACTGCACTCCAGCCTGGGGGACAGAGAGACTCCTCAAAAAAAAAAAAAAAAAAAAAAGCTATTATTTTAAAAAGTAGTAAGCCAGACCTTATTCCCATGTGTATGTGTGTATATATATATACGTATGTATATGCATATATATACACATATATACGTACATATAGATGTGTGTGTGTATATATATATATTTTTTAAACAGAGTTTTTGCTCTTGTTGCCCAGGCTGGAGTCCAATAGCGTGATCTCGGCACACCACAACCTCTGCCTCCCGGGTTCAAGTGATTCTCCTGCCTCAGCCTCCAAATAGCTGGGAT